CAAGAGTTCTTTTTCTCCACATCCTCGCCACATTTGTTGTTGCTAGTTTTTTTAATATGTGCCATTCTCACGGTGTGAGATGGTATCTCATGGTAGTTTTGATTTGCATTTCCCTGATACAAGTGATGTTGAACATTTTCATATGTCTGTTGGCCATTTGCATTTCTTTCAGAGAAGTTTCTTTTAGCTCTTCTGCCCATTTTTTGACTGGATTTTTTCTTTGTTGTTGCTGAGTCTCATCAGCTCTTTGCAGATTTTTGTGATCAGTCCTTCTTCATTAGTGTTGGGTGAAAAATGTTCTCCCAGTTGGTGGGGTTTCTCTTTGTTTTTGTTATTGTCTCTTTTGCTGCTGCAGAAGCTCTTTAATTTTGATGTAGTCCAGCTGTTATCTTTCTCTTCACTATCACTGCTTTGGGTGATGGTCTGTAAAGATGTCTTTGATGTGCAAATCCGGTAGTGTTTCGCCTATATTTCCTTCTATGTATTTTATGGTTTCAGGTCTTATGTCTGTTCTTTAATCCATTTTGAGTTGATTTTGTGTATGGTGTGAGGTAGTGGTCAAGCTTCATTCTTTTGCATGTAGCGACCCAGTTTTCAGCACCATTTATTGAACAAACTTTCTTTGCTCCAATGCATAGTCTTTGCTCCTTTGTCAAAGATTAGTTGACCAAATCTGGGTTATTTCTGGATTTTCTATTCGATTCCATTGGTCTGTATGTCTGTTCTTGTTCCAATACCATGCAGTTTTGATGATTAGGCTTTGTAGTATAGTTTGAAGTCTGGAGTGTGATGCCTCCATTTCCTTCTTTTTTTTTCAGTAGAGCTTTGGCTATTCGGGGTTTTTGGTGATTCCATATGAATTTCATCAATATTGTTCTATTTCTTTGAAGAATGCCTTGAGATTTTGATTGGAATAGCATTGAATCTGATATTGCTTTTGGTAGGATGGCCTTTTAATAATGTTTATTCTTCCATCCATGAGCAGGGGATGTCTTTCCATTTCTTTGTGTCTTCTTCTATTTCTTTTAACAGTGTTTTATAGTTTTTCTTTGTATAGGTCTTTACCTCTTTGTTAGATTTATTCAATATTTGATTTTTTTTGTTTCGATAATAAAAGGGTGTTTTTTTGATTTCATCTTCTTCATATTATTGTTTGTGTATAGGAAGGCTACTGACTTTTGCGTGTGTTGATTTTGTACCCTGCACTTTACTGAATTGATTGATGAGTTGAATTAGTTTTTCTGTGGAGATTTGGGGTTCTCTATGTATATTATCATATCATCTGCAAATAGTGATAGTTTGACTTCTTCTTTTCCTATTTGGATTCCTTGGATGTTTTCTCTTGTCTTATTGCTCTGGCTAGGACTTCCAGTATTATATTGAAAGCAGTGGTGAGAGTGGACATCCTTGTCTTGTTCCAGATCTTAATGGATTGCTTTCAGCTTTTCACCATTGAGAATGATACTGGCTGTTGGCTTGTCATAGATGGCCTTTATGATGTTGATGTATGTCCTTGTATCCCAAGAATTTCAAGGGCTTTTATCATGAATGGGTGGGTTGTTGACTTTGTCGAAAGCTTTCTCAGCATCTATTGATTTATCATATGGTTTTTATATTTTTTTGTTGATGTGTTGGATAACGTTGATTGATTTTCGGATGTTAAACCATCCTTGTGCCCTGGAATGAATCAACTTGGTCGTGGTAAATTATCTTATGGATACATTGTTGGATTCTGATAGCTAAATTTTATTGAGGATTTTTGCATCAGTGTTCATTAGGGAGATTGGCCTATAGTTTTCCTTTTTTGTGTTGTCCTTATTCGGTTTTGGTATTAGTGTAATATTGGCTTCATAGAACGGTGGTATTGTCCCTTCCTTCTCAATTTTTTGGAAGAGTTTGGTGAAGGATAGGCACTAATTCGTCTCTGAATGTTTGGTAGAATTCATTTGTAAATCCATCAGGTCCTGGGCTTTTGTTTTGGGGAGGTTTTTAATTACCATTCAATTTCGCTGTGTAATGGTCTGTTTAGGTGTTCTATTTCTCTTTATCTAGCTTGGGTGATTGTAGAGTTGTAGGAATTTGTCCATCTCTCTAGATTGTTGAACTTGTTTCCATATAACTGTTCATTAGTAGTTATGATTATTCTTTGATTTCTGCTGTGTCCGTTGTGATTTCTCCTCTTTCATTTATGATTCTGTGTATTTGTGCTTTCTCCCTTTTTTCCTTTGTGAGCCTGGCTAGGGGTTTGTCTATTTTATTTGCTGAGGACTTCTTAATAGGTCAACTGCTTTCATGAGACCAATAAAGCCAGCATCCCTGATATCCAAGCTAAGTGATGCTCTGCACCTTCATCACATCAGACCATCTGATCTTCAGGTATGCAGGTAAGTGAGATCACGTTCTCAGCATGGTGTTCGCCTGTTGTTTTACAAGGGTTCTGTTAAGTTTGTTCCATGTATGCAGGTATGAGATTATTTTATAGTGGGCCTTATTTACATACATGTCAATAATTTTGTTTTCAAGATCCAATATATCAACTTTTGTTGTCTGTATTCTGATCAAATTCAATTTCACACCAGCAATCTTAGTAAACTTGAGATGTTATTGTCCTCTTGTTTAGAAAGTATTCATTTCATACACTTACAAGGATAGATGAGTGTGCAGATGCCAAAGTATTTCAGAAAATTGTTTATCACATTTTTATCCATGGTCTCATGTTGCTATTCCTTTAGGAGAGGATGGTATCTCTTCAGAGTTTTAACTTCAGATTACTGCAATTACACAGGTACCATTGTTTATTCTCAAAATTATGCAATTGCTCAAGGGAAAATGCGGCATCCTGATGAAATAAGATTTATAGTAAAGTGATGTTCCACAAAATGTTTTCAAGTTCATTTGAAAACATCTTGGCAATGCTATCAAACAGGTATCTGGGTAAGTATTGATGTGGGCCAACTCTCAGCCCACATCTCCTGACCTTCATACATTTAGGTAATTGTTGATGCTGGAACTAACACTTTTATTGGCATGTTTCTTTGTAAGTAACCTGTTCAGATCTTTGGTGGTACACAGGTATCATATGATGTGCATTATCTCATGAAGATATGCTATATCTCCCTAACTATTGTTTTCAAGGATCACATTAACCTTTCTTGACACAGTTAACTTGTACTTGATAATACTAACAAGCATGAGTTTGTTTGGTCTTAGGTGGAAAAAATATACATTTCTTCTTAACATCACTGAAAGATTGTGAGTATTCAGTTAGTTTATCATATTGTTCTATTTGTTCACCATAAGATATTTGCAGGTATCCCTTCAAGGGAGGAAGACATATCTTCCTACAGTTAACTGTGAGTTCTGCAAATTTTAGGTAAAGTTGATGGGTCTCAATATGATATAGTGACAAGAGAATTTGCATACCTGCAGGTACAATGAGACCTGTACCAAGCACATTTCCCACAATTGTTTTTCAGGACATCTAAGAGATTATAGTGAGCATATTTGAGGAACTGAATGAGAGACATTGCTGGTGTTGAGGTAAGTGGGGATGTGGGCCTACAGCATAACACAGACTATCTATTCTTCATATATATAGTTTGGGGTGATGGTGTCCTAAATACTTCTGTAGCCTTAATTTTGTTGCAGGTATTCAGGTAAGAAATGATGGTGTCCTTACTGTTGCACTTGAGTTTTTTCTTCATGTATTTACAGAAAAATTTAATTATATAACTGTGAGTTTTTTATATTGGCAACTATATAGGAGTTTATCATATTTTAACCCCATCTCAATATTTTTTGCAAGATAGCTACATTTCTTCAGTGTGGAAATGATTGTTTTCTGATATGTTTTGACCTTGCTTACTGCAAGTGTCCTGGTAAAGATGTTATTTCATGTCAACAAAATGAGTATCATTGCTTAGTGTTGTCCTTGTAGACATTTCATAATATCTTTGTAGGTTCTTGTCAAGTATCAAAATGGACCCAATATTGCTCATGAGTAAAAGGACCATCCTAGGATACGAGTAAATAATGATGTGTGTATAAATCATAGAATAGATCATTGAATCTTCAGATTTCTACATTAGTTGTAATGTTTTCCTCAATAGTTGTTATCATGTTCCTTAGAAGGTGCGCATTAGGAAATAGTAACCTTTGCCAAATCCATAGACCATGACATTTTTCTCTGTCTTTAAGATAAAGTTGTTTTTTTTTTTTTTAACTGGGTTTATTGTCATATGCAAGTAATTATCATGACATCCCCAACCACAGCAGTAATCATGGAAATTTTGGAGGTATCCCAAACAGGAATGTTCTCATATTGGACAATGGTCTTGACCTTGGATTACTACAAATATTCAGGTAGAATTGGTAATATTGTAATGAAGGGCATTTCTTTTATTTTTTAATTTTTTATTTTTTTAAACAATATTTTCTTTCCCCCACCCCCTCAGTTAACCTGTGAGTTCTGCAAATTTCAGGTAAAGTCAATGGGTCTCAATATGATATAGTGACAAGGGAATTTGCATACCTGCATATATAATGAGACCTGTGCCAAGCACATTTCCCACAATTGTTTTTCAGGCATCTAAGAGATCACAGTGAGCATATTTAAGGTACTAAATGAGAGACAATACTGGTGTTGAGGTAAGTGGGGATGTGGGCCAACATTACAACACAATCTGCACATATATGATATGTGGTGATGTTGTCCTATAACCTTGATTTTGTTGCAGGTATTCAGGTAAGAAATGAAGGTGTCCCTACCAATTCTACACTGAGATTTTTCCTGTGTATTTACAGGGAAATTTATTTTTATACCTGCTGGTGTTATATATAGGCATGTGTATAGGTGAGTGTCATGAATTTCCTCTTCTCAATATTTTCTATAGTTTTTACATTTCTTCACTTTGGAAATGATGCTTTTCTCATCATCTTGACCTTGCCAACTGCAACTGTGCCAGTAAAGGGGTTATTTCATAGTGATGAAGTGAATATCATTGCTTAGAGTTGTCCTAGTAGACATTTCATAATATCTTTGTAGGTTCTTGTCAATACATCACAATGGACCCAATATTGCTCATGAGTAAGAACCTTCCTGGGATGCTAGTAAGTAATGATGTGGGAATAAATCATAGAATAGATCACTGAATCTTCACATAGCTTAGTGAGTGATGATGGTTTCCCTAACAAATGTTGTTATTGTGTTCTTTTAATTTATTCAGGTAGCAAACAGTAGCCCTTACAAATTACATAGGCCTATCATTTTTCTCTATATTTAAGAAATAATTTCTGTTTAAAAATGGGTATATTATCATATTTAGGTAATTGAAATGATGTTTCCAACCACAGCATAACCATGGAAATTTTGTAGGTACCCAAAAAGGAATGTTCTCAGATTGACATTGGTCTTGACCTTGCATTACTACAAATATTCAGGTAGAATCAGTAATGCCATAATGAAGGGAATGTCTGAGGGCTTCTTAATATGTCAACTTTTGTCATTTAGACGTATATCATTTGATTTTCAGACACCTTTCCGAGACAAATAAAGCCAACATTCCTTTTCTCCAAGAAAAGTGACCCTCTGCACCTTCACATCAGACCATCTGATCTTCGGATATGAAGATGGTGACCTCAGCACAGTGTTAGCCTGTTGTTTCACAATGGTCCTGACAAGTTTGTTCTACGTATGCAAGTATGATATTATTTTATAGTAGGTCTTATATACATACATGTCAATAGTGATGTTTTCAAGACCCAGTATATAAACTATTATATGTATTCTGTCAAACTTAATTGTACCCATGTAATCTTAGTAAGCTTCAGATGTTGTCTTCATGTTTAGAAAGTATTTATTTTACACCCATGGTAGTAGATGAGTGTGCAGATTTCAAAGTATTCATCACATTTTTCATCATATTTTTATCCATGGGACTGTTATAGGTATCCCTTCAGGATAGAATCGACTCTCTTAGGATTTTTAACTCAGTTTTCTACATTGCACAGGAAACTTTGATGGATCTCAAAATGATACAGTTGCCCAAGGGAATTTGTGGTATCCTGATGAAATAAGATTTTTTTTTAAAGATTTATTTATTTATTTATTTATTTATACAGGCACTGGGTACAGTCAGAAGCGCGGGAGGGTGAGAGAATTCACCAGAGCCAGAATGGGGAACAGAACAGGCAGACCAGCGAAATACACTGCTGAGGGGAGCAGAGGGCGCTGCAGGAGAGGTCTGTCGCGCCATGTGGGACCCTTCCCAGCGGCTAGGAATCGAACCAGCGCTGCAGAGGCTGCAGGCAGCTTCTTCGCAGCCCAGCGCTCAACCGCTGTGCCACCAGGGGAGGCCCCCTGATGAAATAAGATTTATCCTAAAGCAACATTCCATAAAATATTTTCAGGTTCAGTTGAAGACATATTGGCTATCCCATCAAAGGTAATCACAAAATATATGGCAGGTTGAGGTAAGTATTGATTGGGCCACTGCTCATCACAGATTAGGTGACCTTCTTACATATAGGTAAGTGTTGATTCTATAACTAACACCTTTAATGGCATGTTTCTTTTTTTTTTTTTTAAAGATTTATTTATTTATTTATACAGGCACTGGGTACAGTCAGAAGCGTGGGAGGGTGAGAGAATTCATTAGAGCCAGAGCGGGGAGCAGAGCAGGCAGAAGGACCGAAGTACACTGCTGAGGGGAGCAGCGGGCGGCAGGAGAGGTCTGCGCGCCATGTGGGACCCTCCTCCAGTGGCCGGGGAGCAGCCGGGGTTCACACTGGCACTGCAGAGGCTGCGGGCAGCTTCGCAACCCAGTGCTCAACCGCTGTGCCACCGGGGAGGCCCTGGCATGTTTCTTTGAAAGGAACCTATTCAGCTTTTTGGTGGTACACGGGTTTGATATGATGTGAAATTAACTCATGCAGATATTTTATATCTGCCTAACTATTGTTTCAAACATCATATTTGTCTTGTTTTTGGTGATATTGTTAATTTGTCACTGATAATGCTAACAATGAGGAGTGTTTGTTTTGGACTTGTTTAGAGATAATGTACTTTTCTTATTGTTTTTGCAAGGTGATGAGTCTTCATGTATTTTCTCATATTTATTAGTCTTGTTTATTGACCATGGGATTATTGCAGGGCTCCCTTCAAAGGAGGAAGGCTTATCTTACGCTGTTAACATCTAAGTTCTGCAATTGTACAGGTAATGCGGATTTACCCACAGTGATATAGTGACAAGGGAATTTGTAGATGTGCAGATATAATGAGACATTTACCAAGCACATTTCCCACAAATGTTTTTCAGGATATCCAAGAGATCCCAGTGAGCCTACTTAGATACTAAGAGATATTGCTGGTGTCCTAAACCACAACACAGACTCTCTGAACTTCATATATATGGATGAGTAGTAATGGTGTCCCAAACACTTATTTAATTGCACAGTGTATGCATTTATTATATATATTTTAATTTTATGTATTTTTACATCATTTTTCATTTTTGCACAATGTATGCATTTTCATCTGATTATAGTCTCCATACAATTCCCACCCACCCTTGTTTTGATCCTATTCCCTCCTCCCACCCTGTAGTGTGTCTCTGCTTTATAGTTGTTTGTTGATTTTGATTTTTACTTTATTATAATTAGTCATTTTCCTGGTCCCTTATTTAGGTTTTCTAAATTCCTGCTATGAGTGTGACCATCTGGTATTTTTCTTTTTCTTTCTGGCTTATTTCGCTGAGCATGATCCCTTCCAGTTCCATCCATGTTGCTGCAAATTGCATGAGTTTATCTTTTTTGATTGCTGAGTAATATTCCATTGTGTATATGTATCACGTCTTGATCCAGTCACCTATTTTTCGGAATTTGGGTTGTTTCCATAGCTTAGCTATTGTAAATAGTGCTGCAATAAACACAGAGGTGCAGGTGCCCTTTTGAATTAATGTTTCTGCTTCCTTCGGGTAAATACCTAGGAGTGGAATTGCTGGATAATATGGAAGCTCTATCTTTATCAGGTTGCAGAATTTCCACACAGCTTTCCATAGTGGTTGGACAAGTTTATCCTCCCACCAGCAGTGTAGTAGAGTTCCTTTTCTCCACATACTCACCAACATTTGTTGTTGCTAATTTTTTAAATATGTGCCATTCTCACTGGTGTAAGATAGTATCTCATTGTAGTTTTGATTTGCATTTACCTGATTACAAGTGATGATGAAGATCTTTTCATATGCCTGTTGGCCATTTGCATTTCCTCTTTGGGGACGTTTCTTTTTAGCTCTTCTGCCCATTTCTTAATTGGATTATTTTCTTTTTTTTGAGTCTCATCAGCTTTTTGTAGATTTTTGTGATCAGTCCTTTATCATTAGTGTTGTATGCAAAAATTTTCTCCCAATCTGTGGGGTGTCTCTTTGTTTTGGTTACTGTCTCTTTTACTCTACAGAAGCTCTTTAATTTGGTGTAGTCCCAGGTGTTTACCTTTGCCTTCACTATCACTGCTTTGGGTGATGTGTCTTTAAAGATGTTACTGAAGTGTATGTCATGTAGTGTTTCGCCTATATTTCCTTCTATATATTTTATGGTTTCAGGTCTTATGTCTAGTTCTTTAATCCATTTTGAATGGGTTTTTGTGCATGGTGTGAGGTAGTAGTCAAGCTTCATTCTTTTGCATGTAGCGACCCAGTTTTCCCAGCACCATTTACTGAACAAACTTTCTTTGCTCTAGTGCATATTCTTTGCTCCTTTGTCAGAGATTAGTTGACTGTAAATCTGTGGGTTTGTTTCTAGATTTTCTATTCAGTGCCATTGGTCTGTTTGTCCATTCTTGTTCCAGTACCATGCAGTTTGATTATTGTGGCTTTGTAGTATAATTTGAAGTCAGGGAGTGTGGTGCCTCCATTCCCTTCTTTTTTTTTTTTTTCAGGAGAGCTTTGGCTGTTTGGGTTTTTGGTGATTCCATATGAATTTCATCATTATTTGTGCTATTTCTTTGAAGAATGTCATTGAAATTTTTATTGGAATAGCATTGAATCTGTAGATTGCTTTTGGTAGGATGGCCATTTTGATAATGTTAATTCTTCCAATCCATGAGCAGGGGATGTCTTCCCATTTCTTTGTGTCTTCTTCTATTTCTTTTAACAGTGTTTTATAGTTTTCTTTGTATAGGTCCTTTACCTATTTGATTAGGTTTATTCCCATGTATTTGATTTTTTTTTTTTTGTTTAGACAATAAAAGGGATGGTTTTCTTGATTTCTTCTTCAGATTTATTGTTCGTGTATAGGAAGGCTACTGATTTTTTTCGTGTTGATTTTGTATTCTGCTCCTTTACTAAACTGATTGATTAGTTTGATTAGTTTTTCTGTGGAGTTTTTGGGATTCTCTATGTATATTATCATATCATCTACAAATAGTGATAGTTTAACTTCTTCCATCCCTATTTGTATTCCTTATATGTCTTTCTCTTGTCTTATTGTCTGGCTAAGACTTCCAATATTATATTGAAAAGCAGTGGTGAGAGTGGACATCCTTGTCTTGTTCCAGATCTTAGTGGAAATGCTTTTAACTTTTCACCATTGAGAATGATATTGGCTATGGGCTTGTCATATATGTCCTTTATGATGCCAAATACTTCTTGTTTGGTCCTTTGGTAGTATGCAGATGTCAGAAGTTATGACACTAACTGGTGAAGTGTATTGTTTCTCCCTAGTTATTGTTTTCAAAAATCACATTTGCATTTTTCAAGGTATAGTTCATTTGTCCTCAATAATACTGACAAGATTGAGTGTTCTTTTGCTGTGTTCTTTTGTGGAGATAATGTACAATATTTTGAATGTCACTAAAAGATTGTGAGTATTGAGAAAATTTGTCATATTATCCTATTTATTCACCATAAGATATTTGCAGGTATCTATTCAAGGGAGGAAGACAATCTCCTATAGTTAAACTGTGATTTCTGTAAGTTTCCAGGTAATGTTGATGGGTTTCAATATGATATAATGACAAGGGCATTTGCATACCTGCAGGTACAGTGAGACCTGTACTAAGCACATTTCCCACAAATGTTTTTCAGAACATGCAGAGAGATCACAATGACATATTTAAGGTACTGAATGAGAGACATTGCTGGTGTTGAGGTGAGTGGAGATATGGGCCTACAGCATAATACAGACTCTCTGTTCTTCACATGTGTGGTATGGGGTGATGGTTTCTTATACACTTCTGTAACCTTGATTTTGTTTCAGATATTCAGGTAAGAAATGAAGATGTCCCTACCAATTCTACACTGAGTTTTTCCTTTGTGTATTTACAGGAAATTTTATTTTTATACCTGTAATTTTTATATATTGGCAAGTATGTAGGAGTTTATGATTTTTACCATCTCAATATTTTCTGAAAAATATTTACATTTCTTCAGTGTGTAAATGAAGCTTTTCTGATAAGTCTTTTTTTTAAGATTATTTATTTATTTATACAAGCACTGGGTACAGTCAGAAGCACTGGAGCGTGAGAGAAATCACCAGAGCCAGAAAGAGGAGCAGAACAGGCAAACTGACGAAGTACACTGCTGAGGGGAGCAGTGGGCATCAGGAGAGGTCTGCATGCCATGTGGGACCCTCGCCCGGTGGCTGGGGATCGAACTGGCGCTGCAGAGGCTGCGTGCAGCTTCACAACCCAGCGCTCAATCTCTGCGCCACCGGGGAGGCCGCCTTTCTGATAGGTCTTGATCTTGCCAACTGCAAGTGTCCTGGTAAAGATGTTATTTCATACTGACAAAGTGAATATTATTGCTTAGAGTTGTCCTGGTAGACATTTCATAATATCTTTATAGATCTTGTCAAGACATCACAGTGGACCCAGTACTGTTCATGAGTAAAGGACCTTCCTGTGATGCAGGTAAGTAATGTAGTGGGAATAAAATAGAGAATAAATATATCATTGAATTTTCAGATTCCTGTGAGTTATAATGTTTTCCCTAATGGTTGTTGTTATCATGTTCTTTTGAAGGTGGTCTATAGGAAATGGTAGCCTTTCACAAATCCATAGACCAAGACAGTTTTCTGTCTTTTTATAAATGTGCCATTTATCCCTGGTCTGTTGTCATATTCAGGTAATTATCATGATGTGCACAACAAAAAATATTAACCTATCATTTTTCTCTATCTTTAAGAAATAATTTCTGTTTATAAATGGGTCTTTGTCATATTTAGGTAATTTCAGTGATGATCCCAACCATGCAATAACCAAGAAAATTTTGCAGGTGTCCAAGAAAATATGTTGCCATATTTGACATTGGTCTTTCCTTGGATTACTGCAAATATTCAGGTACGATCAGAGTTGTCTTACTGAAGGGCCTATCTGTGGGCTTCTTAATATGTCACCTTTTGTCATCTAGACATATATACATGTGATTTTCAGATTCCCTTCTGAATTCAACACGAATTTAGCGGCTGTAAAGAGTACATTCCTGGTCTCCAAGCAAGTGATGCTCAGCGCCTTCATCACATCAGACCATCTGATCTTCAGATACATAGGTGAGTGAGTATGGCGTTCTCAGCACAGTGTTAGCCTGTTGTTTTCAAGGGTCCAAATAAGTTTGATCTTCATATGCAGGAATGAGGTTGTTTTAGAGCAGGTGTTAATTATATAAATGTCAATAATGATGGTTTCAAGACCCAATATATTAACATTTATTGTATGTATTCTGTTCAAATTTAGTTTTACCTAAACAATGTTTGCAAGCTTGGGATGTTATTGTCTTCTTATTTAGGCAGTATTCATTTTATCCACCCATGGTGATAGATGAGTATGCAGATGTCAAAGTAATTCATCTAATTGTTCTTCACATTTTTATCCATGGGACTCTTGTATGTATCCTTTCAGGAGAGGATGGTATCTCTTAAGAGTATTCAGGTAGAATCAGTGCAGTCATAATGAAGGTAGTGTCTGGTGTTTCTAATAAGACAATCTGGAATTTAGACATATATACTGTGATTTTTAGGTTGTTTTCTAATACCATTATAAATGTAATCATTATTAAATGAGAACATTTCTGGTATCCGGACAAAGTTACATTCAGCACCTACATCACGTCAAACCATCTGATCTTCAGAAACCTAGGTAATTGAGGATGGTGTCCTTAGCACAGCTTTTTTGCAAGTTTTCATGGTAAGTTCTTTATCATATACACATATGAGATTATTTTACTGAGGGTCTTATTTACATACATTGCAATAGCTATGTTTTCAAGATACAATAAATCAATTTTTATTGTATGCATTCTGTTCAAATTTAATTTCACCCAAGCAATCATTGTAAGTTTGTGCTGGTATGTTATTTGTGTTTAGAAAGTATTCATTTTATACACTCATGGTGATAGATGAGTAATCAGAGCAGAGATCAAAGTAATTCATCCCATTGTTCATCACATATTTATCCATGGGACTCTTGTAGGTATCCCTTCAGGAGAGGGTGGAATCTCTAAGGAGTTTTAACTTTAAATTCTTAAGGTTACACAGGTGACATTGATGATTCTCAAAATTATACAGTTGTCCAATGGAATTTTCAGATATCCTGATGATTTAAGATTTATACTAATGTGATATTCCACAAAATTTTTTCAGGTTCATTTGAAAACAGTTTGGAGATCCTATCAAAGGTACTCATGAAACACGTAGCAGGTATCAGGTTAAGTTTTGATGTGGGCCAACCCTCATCACAGATCACGTGACCTTCATACATGTAGGTAAGTGTTGATGGCATGTTTATTTGCAAGTAACCTGTTCAGATCTTAGGTGGTACACAGGCATGCAAATATGTGTTCATACAGATATTTTATATTTCCCAAGTGTTTTCAAGAATCACAATTTGCCTAGTTTTTGGTGATTTTAAGTTAATTTATCAATGATTATACTAATAAACATGAGTTTTTGTGTTGTACTTCTTTAGAGATTATATACTTTTTTATTGTCATGACAGATTATGAGTTCTCATATAGTTTGTCATACTTATTAATCCTGTTTATTAACCATAGATAAATTGCAGGTATCCCTTCAAGGAAGGAAGGCCTATCTTAGACTGTTAACCCCTGAGGTCTGCAATTATGCAGTTAATATTGATGTTTCCCACAGTGATAGTGTAACAATGGAATTTGTAGAATTGCTGGTGTAATGAGACCTGTACCGAGCACACTTCCCACAATTATTTTTCAGGACATCCAAGAGATCACAGTGAGCATATTTAAGTTACTTAAAGAGAGACATTGCTGGTATTGAGGTAAGTGAGGATGTGGGCCAGCAGCACAACACAGGCTATCTGACCTTCATATATATGGTATGAGGTGATGGTGTCCTAAAAGATTCTGTAATTTGATTTTGTTGCAGATATTCAAGTAAGAAATGATGGTGTCCCTACCAATTCAACACTGAGGTTTTCCTTTGAGAATTTAAAGGAAAATTTATTTTTATACCTATGTGTTTTATATATTGGTATGTGTATAGGAGTTTTTTTCTCCATCTCAATATTTTCTGCACAGTGACTACATTTCTTCAGTGTTCAAATGATGTTTTTCTGAGAGGTCTTGACCTCACTTACTGCAAATGTCCTGGAAAGATGTTGTATCACAATGATCAAGTAAATATTATTGCTTAGAGTTGTCCTGGTAGATATTTCATAATATCTTTGTAGATTCTTGCCAAGTATCACAATGGACCCAATATTGCTCATGAGTGAAGTGCTTTTCTGCAATGCAGGTAAGTAATGATGTGGGAACAAATCATAGAATAGATCATGGAATCTTCAGAAATCAAAATGAGATATCTTTTCCTTAACAGTTGTTGTGATCATGTTTCCGTGAAGCTGTTCACATAGGAAATGGTAACCTTTACCAATTCCATGAACCATGAAATTTTTCTGTCTTTGTATAAAGTTGCTCTTTATCCCTGGATGTATTATCATATTCAGATAATTAACATGATGTTACAAACCACAGCAATAATTATGGATATTTTGCAGGTATCCCCAAAAGAAATGTTCTTATATTTGACAATGGTCTTGTGCTTATTCAACAAATACTCAGGTAAAATCAGTACTGTCATAATGAAGGATGTGTCTGAGAGCTTCTTAAAAGATCAACTTCTGTCATTTAGATGTATATCATGTGATTTTCAGCATCCCTCCTGTAATCAATATGAACTTAGTGGTTGTTAAAGAAAACATTTCTGGTATCCCAGCTAAGGGATGCTCTGCACCTTCATCACATCTGACCATCTGATCTTCAGATACAAAGGTAAGTAAGGATGGTGTCCTCAGCACAGTGTTAGCCTGTTGTTTTACAAGGATCCTATTAAGTTCATTCCTTATATGCAGGTATGAGTTTATTTTAGAGAGTTCTAAGTTAAATTCATTTCAATAATGATGTTTTCAAGACCCAGTGAATCAAATTTTATTGTATATATTCTGCTCAAATTTAATTTCATCCAAGCAATCTTTGTAAGCTTGAGATCTTATTGACTTCATGTTTAGAAAGTATTCATTTTATGCATCCATGCTGATAGATGAGTGTGCAGATGTCAATGTAATTCAGCCCATTGTTCATCATCATGTTTTTATCCATGGGACTCTTATAGGTATTCCTTCAGAGAGAATGGAATCTCTTCAGAGTTTTAACCTTAGATTTCTACAGTTACACAGGTAACATTGCCGAGTCTCAAAATTATACAGTTGCCCAAAGAAATTTGGAGTATCCTGATGAAATAAGACTTATACTAAAGAGATATTCCACAAAATATTTTCAGGTTCTTTGAAGACTTCTTGGCAACCCTATCAAAGGTACTCATGAAATACATAGCAGGTGTTCAAGTAAGTATTGATGTGATCCAACCCTCACCCCTGATAACATGACCTTCATACATTTAGTAAGTGTTGACGTTAGAACTAACACCTTTATTGGCACGTTTCTTTGCAAGTAACCTGTTCAAATCCTTTGTGGTACACCAGTATGAGATGATGTACATTAACTCATGAAGATATCCTATATCTCCCTAACTGTTGTTTTCAATTATCACATTTACCTTTCCTAACACAGTTAACTTGTTCTTGATAATACTAACAAGCATGAGTTTTTGCTGTGGCATTGTATAGAGAAAATGCAATTTTCTTCTGATTGTCTTTGACAGGTTGTGAGTATTAATTTAATTTGTCATATGTATTTTCCTTTTAATTAACCATGGAGTATTTTCAGATATCCCTTTAAGAGGAAAAAGACATATCTTAGACCCGCTGACCTCTGAGTTCTACAAAAATGCTGGTAATGTTTATATAGCACAGTGATATATATTGACAAGGGTATTACAGGTATAATGAGATATTGACCAAGCATATTTCCAAAAAAACTGTTTTTCAGGACATCCACGAGATCACAGTGAGCCCATTTAGGCACTTACTGAGAACATTGCTGGTGTTGAGGTGAGTGGGGAATGTGGGCCTGAATTACAGAATAGACTTATCTGATCTTCAAATATATGGGTAAGAGGTGATGGTGCCCAAAATTCTTAGTCAGATCTTTGTTAGTATATATGTGTGAGAAGATGTACCATTAATTCATGCAATGTGTTATATGTCCCTAACTAATATGAATCACATGTGCCTTATTTATGGTATAATCTGCCTATGAGAGAATACTGACACCATCAGTTTTTGCTGTGCTTTTGTGGAGATACTGTACATTTCTTCTTAATGTCACTGAAAGATGTGAGTACTCAGTTTGTCATATTGTCCTGTTTATTCACAATGGGATATTTGCAGGTATCCCTTCAAGGGAGGAAGACATATCTTCCTACAGTTAGCCTGTGAGTTCTGCAAATTTCAGGTAAAGTTGATGGGTCTCAATATGATATAGTGACAAGGGAATTTGCATACCTGTAGGTACAATGAGACCTGTACCAAGCACATTTCCCACAAATGTTTATCAGAACATGCAGAGAGATCACAATGACATATTTACAGTACTGAGTGAGAGACATTGCTGGTGCTGAGGTATGTGGAGATATGGGCCTATAGCATAAAACAGATTCTCTGCTCTTCACATATATGGTATGGGGTGATGGTATCCTAAATACTTCTGCAACCTTTATTTTGTTGTAGGTATTCAGGTAAGAAATGAAGGTATCCCTACCAATTCTACACTGAGGTTTTCCTTTGTGTATTTATAGGAAAATTTATTTTCATATCTGTGAGTCTTACATATATGCATGTGTATAGGTGTTTATCATGCTTTTCCCCATCTCAAAATTTTCTATTATATGTCTATATTTCTTCAGTTTAGAAATGATGCTTTTCTGATAGGTCTTGACCTTGCTTACTGCAAGTGTGCTGGTAAGGACCTAATGTTATTAATGTATGAATATTATTGCTTAGAATTGATCTGCTAGACATTTCATAGGTTCTTGCCAAGACATCACAGTGAACCCAGTATTACTCATGTGTAAAGGACCTTCCTGGGATGCCAGTAAGTAATTACGTGGGAATAAATCATAGAATAGATCATTGAATATCTTATATATCTAATATCTTCAAATATCTTAGTAAGTATGATGGTTTCCCTAACAAACATGTTGTCATGTTCTTTTAAATTATTCAAGTAGAAAATGATAGCCTTTCACAAAATAGATAACCTATCATTTTTCTCTGTCTTTAAGAAATAATTTCTGTTTATAAATGGATGTATTGTCATATTTAGGTAATATCATTATGTTCCCAACCACAGCAATAACCATGAAAATTTTTCAGGTATTCCTAAAAGGAATGTTCTCAGATTGACATTGGTCTTGACCTTGGATTACTACAAATACTCAGGTAGAATCAGTACTGTCATATAAAAGGGCATGACTGAGGGCCTCTTAATAGGTCAATTTCTGTAATTTATACATATATCAAGTGATTTTCAGATTCCCTTCTGAAATCAAAATGAATTTAATGGTTGTTAAAGAAAACATTTCTGGTATCCCAGCTAAGTGACTCTGCACTGTCATCACAACCGACCATCTGCTCGTCAGATACGAAGGTAAGTGAGGATGATTTTCTCAGCTCAGTGTTAGCCTGTCGTTTTGCAAGGGTCCTGTTAAGTTCGTTCCTCTTGCAACTAGGAGATTATTTTAGAGAGGGTCTTCGATACATGCAAGTCAGTAATGATATTTTCATGACCCATTGTTTCAACTTTTATTCTATGTATTCTGTTCAAATTTAATTTTACCTAAGCAATGTTAGTAAGCTTGAGATGTTACTGTCTTCTTGTTTACAAAGTAATCATTTTATACACCCCTGGTATATAAAACAGATGAATGTGCAGATATCAATGTAATTAATCCAATTATTCTTCACATTTTTATTCATGGGACTCTTGGAGGTATCCTTTCAGGAGAGGATGGTATCTCTTAAGAGTTTAACCTCAGATTACTACAATTACACAGGTAACTGCCGAGTCTCAAAATTATACAGTTGCCCACAAAAATTTGAGGGATCCTGATGCATTAAGATTTATACAAAGGTGATGTTCCACAAAATACATTTAGGTTCATTTGAAAACATCTTGGCAACCCTATCAGAGGTACTCATGAGATGCATAGTAGGTGTCCAGGTAAGTATGAATGTGGGCCAACCCTCACCCCTGATCACATGACCCTCATACATTCAGGTAAGTGTTGATGTTGGAACTAACACCTTTATTGGCACATTTCTTTACAAGTAACCTGTTCATATCTTTGATGGTACAGAGGTTTGGCATGATGTATATTAACTCTTGGTGATATGCTATATCTCCCTAACTATTGTTTTCAAAAATCACATTCATCTTGTTCATGGTACAGTTAGCTTGTCCTTGATAATACTAACAACATGAGTTTTTGCTGTGTTTTTGTGTAGAGATAATGTACTTTTCTTATGATTGTCATTGATAGGTTGTGCGTGTTCCTGTAGTTTGTCTATTTATTTGTCCTGTCAAGTAACCATGGGGTATTGCAGGTATCCCTTCGAGGGAGGAAGACATGTCCTAGACCACTAACCTCTGAATTCTGCAAATGAGCAGGTAATGTTAATGGTTCATTATATCATATATTGACAAAGGTATTGCACTTATAATGAGACTTGTATCAGGCACATTTCTCACAATTGTTTTTCAGGACATCAAGAGACCACAGTGAGTCTGCTTAGGTAACTTTTTTGAACATTGCTGGTGTTGAGGTAAATGGAGATGTGGGCCTGAACCACAGTTCAGACTGTCTGATCTCACATACATGGTATGAGGTGATGGTGTCCTATACACTTTTATAACCTTGATTTTGTTTCAGGTATTCAGGTAAGAAATGATGGTGTGCCTACCAAGTTCTAGACTCAGGGTTTTTTGTGTGAATTTAAAGTAATATTTATTTTTATAACTGTGTGTGATAAATGTTGGCATGTGTACAAGTGTTTATCATGTTTTTCCTACCTGAATATATTCTAGATGATCTCTCCATTTCTGCATTGAATTAATGATGCTTTTCTGATTGGTCTTGACCTCTTCTTACTGCAAGTAGTCTCATAATGATGTTACTTCATAAGGGCATTTGAATAATATTGTTCAGAGTTGTCCTGGTAGACATTTCATAGTATCTTTGTAGATTCTTGTCAAGACATCATAATGGACCTAAGATTGCTCATGACTATAGGGTCTTCCTGGTATCCTAGTAAGTAATGATTTGGGAATAAATCCTACAATAGATCATTGAACCTTCATGTAGCTTAGTGAATTATGATGGTTTCCCTAGCAATTGTTCTTATCATGTTTCTTTGAAGCTATTCAGGTAAGAAATGGTAGCCTATTTGCTCTTTATAATTGGGTGTATTGTTATATCCAGGTAATTATCATGATGTTTCCAACCACAGCAGTAACCATGGAAATTTTGCAGGGGTCCCTTAAAGGAATGTTCTCATATTTGACAACAGTCTTGACATTGAATTACTACAAATATTCAGGTAAAATCAGTGCAGTCATAATGAAGGGAGCGTCTGGGGGCCTCTTAATAAGTCAACTTTTGACATTTAGACATGTATCGTGATTTTCAGGTTCTTTTCTAAGAACATAAACTTAGTCATTAAATGAGAATATTTCTGGTATCCAGGATAAGTGACATTCTGCACTGACATCACATCAAGCCATCTGGTCTTTAGACACCTAGGTAAGTGAGGATTGAGGATGGTATCCTTAGCATATTTTTTTTTTTGCAGTTTTGCTGTTAATTTCCTTCCTCATATGCATGTATGAGCTTAATTTACTGAAGATCTTATTTACATACATGTCAATAGTGATGTTTTTAAGACCCCGTATATCAACTTTTATTTTGTGTATTCTGTTCAAATTTAATTTCACCCAAGAAATCTTTGTGAGCTTGTTCATCACATTTTTATCCATGGGACTCTTGTGGGCATATCCTTCAGTAGATGGTGAAATATCTTAGGACTTTTAACCTTAGATTTATATAGTTACACAGGTAACATTACTGAGTCTCAAAATTTTACAGTTGCCCGATGGAATTCACAGATATTCTGATGATTTAAGATTTATACTAATGTGATATTCCTCAAAAAAATTTTCAGGTTCATTTACAGACAGCTTGGTGATCCTATCAAATGTACCCATGAAATACACAGCAGGTATCAAGGTAAGTTTTGATTTGGGCCAACCCTCATCACAGATCATGTGACCTTCATACATATAGGTAAGTGTTGATGCTATAACTAACGTCATTATTGCCATGTTTGTTTTCAAGTCACCTGTTCAGATCTTTGGTGGTATACAGGTATGTGATGATGTGACATTAACTTATACAGATATTTTATATCTCCCTAGTGTTTTCAAGAATCACATTTCCTTAGTGCGTGGTGATTTTAAGTTAATTTGTCAATGATCATACTAACAAACATGAGTTTTTGTCTTGGTCTTCTTTAGAGATAATGTGCTTTTCTTCTGATTGTCATTGACAAGCCTGTCAATGTTCATGTATTTTGTTATACTTATCAGTGCTGTTTACTAACCATAGATTAATTGCAGGTACCCCTACAAGGGAGGAAGACCTATCTTACACCATTAATCTCTGAGTTCTGCAATTGTGCAGGTAATGTTGATTTTTTTCAGAGTGAGATAGTGACAATGGTATAGCAGGCGTAATGAGACATATACCAAACACTTTTCCCACAAATGTTTTTCAGGATACCCTAGAGATCACAGTAAACGTACTTAGGTACTTTGTGAGAGACATTGTACTGAGGTAAGTGAGGATGTGGGTCTAAATCACAACATAGACTATCTGACCTTCATATTTGAGGATAGGTCATTGGTGATGGTCATCCAAGCCATTCTGTAACCTTGATTTTATTGCAGGTATGCGGGTAAGAAATGTTGGGTCCCTCTCAATTAAAAAAAAAAAATAACAGCGTTTCCTTTTTTTCTATTACAGTGTTTTCCTTTTTTCTATTCTATTATTAGGGGTTTCTGTGTGCAGTTATTAATCATGTTTTTTCCCACCTTAGTCCTTTCAGTAGGTTGCTGTATATGCACAGTGAGGACATGATGCTCTTGTGACATCATTTTTTTCCTTGGATTCCTGCAACTCTCCTGGTAAAGATACTGTTTCATAGTGATCAAGTGAACAATTATATGTATAGTTTTCCTGGTACAAATCTTTTTCCTTTAACATATGTTCAATAATATCTCTTTCATGTTTCTTTCAAGGAATCATGATGAACATAACATTGCTCATTAAGGGATCTTTGCTGGTATCCAGATAAATAACAATTGAACCTTAACCAAAGCACAGTCCATCTGATCTCCTGATATCTAAGTGATGAAAATGTCCCTGGCACTTGTATTAACATGGTTTTATTTGCAAGCACTCAGGTAAGAAAAATAGATTCTTTGCCAGTTCCAGAAAATGTGAGTTTTCATTTTTTATATTTTAGAGAAAAATGTTGTTTATCCTGAGAATGTTGAATAGCTTTCCAAATATTTATCATGTTCGTAATCACAGCTGAGACCATGGAAAATTTGAAGGTATTTGTTATTAAGATTCATTTTATTATTTATGCATACAAGAGCTGGGGTGTAGGACAGAGGTGCAAGGGTTGAGAAGATTCACCAGAGACAGAGTAAAGAGCATAACAGGCAGATTGACTGAAATACACTGCTGAGAGGAGCAGCAGGCAAGACAGGAGAGGTCTGCTGCACCATGAGAGTCAGCTCCCTGGCCGAGAATCAAACTCGTGCTGCAGTGGCTGCTGATAGCTTCGTAGTGCTGAGACTTAACCCCTTGTGCCACCAGGGAGGCCCCAATTTGGAGGTATTATTTTTTTAAAGATTTATTTATTTATACATACAAGAACTGGGATATAGACCAGAGGTGCAGGGGGTGAGAGGATTCACCAGAGAATGTGGGGCACAGAACAGACAGATCTACTGAAATACACTGCTGAGGAGAGCAGCAGGGGAGACAGGAGAGATCTGCTGTGCCATGTGGATTGCTCCTTGGCTGGCTAGGGTTCGAACTCCTGTTACAGTGGCTGGTGAGAGCTTGATAGCTTGATAGTGCTGTGTCTTTAACCCCTATGCCACCAGCGAGGCCCCTGGAGGTATTTTGTTACAAAATATACATTTTTTAAGTTACATGTTTATTAAATGCAGCAATCAAACAGATAGGTTCTATAATAGAAAAAAAAATCTGACTGGTTGAAAATACATTTTTTTTCAATCAGTTGATTTGCGTTTAACTTGGGGGTTACTTCCATTTCTTTTTTTTTGTGTGACTTCTTTCTATACCTTTGATACCAGTCCTTTGTCAGACATATGATATGCAACTATTTTCTCCCATTCCATCGGGTGTCTTTTTTTTTTTTCTTTTTTTTCTTTAAATATTTTATTTTGTATAATTCTTACATCTTTTTTCATCTTTGCACAATGTATGCATTTTCGTTTTGGTTATATTCCCCATACAATTGCACCTCCCCCCTTATTTTGACTCTAGTCCTTCCTTTCCCTGCCCCTGCCTGCCCCCCCCACACAGTGTGTCTCTGGTTTATAGTTGCTTGTTGATTTTGATTTTTACTTTGTATTGATTAGTCTTTTTCCTGATCTCTTATATAGGTTTTCTAAATTCCTGCTATGAGTGAGACCATTCAGTATTTTTTTCTTTCTGACTTATTTCACTAAGCATGATCCCTTCTAGCTGCATCCATGTTGTTGCAAACTGCATGTGTTTATCTTTTTTGATTGCTGAGTAATATTCCATTGTGTATATGTACCACATCTTCTTGATCCAGTCATCTATTTTTGGGCATTTGGGCTGTTTCCAAAGCTTAGCTATTGTAAACAGTGCTGCTATAAACATAGGGGTGCAGGTGCTCTTTGGAATGGATGTTTCTGTGTCCTTTGGGTAAATACCTAGGAGTGGAATTGCTGGATCATATGGAAGCTCTATCTTTAGTAGTTCAAGAAATCTCCACACAGCTCCCCATAGTGGTTGGACCAGTTAACCTGACAATGGTCCTGACGTGAAATACAGCAAATATTTAGGCAGAGTTTATGATGTTGTAATGATGAAGGCTATTGGTAGGTTTGCTAGTGTAGAATAAGTCGTATCATTTTACCATATATATGTTAATATGTTTCCTAGGTACATGTCTAGGGACCATGGTGAACCTAACAATGACTGTTAAATGGAAATACTCCTAGTATCCAGGTAGGTGATGGTGGCCCCTCACCATACCACAAACCTTCCAGTCTCCTATACTTAGATAAGTGATGTTTGTTTTTCTATATTTGTTTTACCATGTGACTTTTGGCATATTTTTAGGTAGGAAGTGAAAGTATTTTAACCACTCTATAAATAACATTACCCCGTGGTTTTATGTGTTAGAAAGAAAATGGATGCTTCTGTGATTGTTGGACAATGTGCATTATCCATGCAATCATCTTTGAACTGTAAGTCACAGCAGTAAGTATTTTTTTTTTTTTTTTGACAGGCAAGCATTCAAAGATGAAGTCGAAGATGGTGTCGATTTGGAGTACTGCAAGCTACCAGCTGATTTGGTGGGTCCTGCTGTGATGGTTTTGAACAGGTTATTTCAGGATCCAGGTAATAAAGTTATGTCTATAGATATATTTGTTACAATAAATTTTAGGTTACTCTGAAAAAATTGTGGTAAACCTCATAATGTTCATTAGAGGAATTTCTTTCATATCCAGGTAAGTGATGATGTGGGCCTTTGCAAGCTTCCCACCATTTGAAATTCAGATAGCTAGGAAAGTATGGCTACAGTTCCTATTTGTCTTACTATGTCTTTTGTCAAGTATTCAAGTAAGAAATACTCTTCCAACCCATGCTGATTATCATTAGCCCTTATTATTTTAGAGTTTAGATTTTATGCTTGTATAATCTTAGTAGTAACTGAGTGATTATGTAGGTGCCCAATTAAATTATCACTTTGCCTATCACGTCTTTATTAATCACAGCTTTTTCACTTATCAAGACTTACCAAGATTTTGTTTTTAACTAGTTGTTGATCTTGAACTTCTGCAAGTTTCTCAGTAGAGTTAAAGGATTCTGTAAATTTGATGAGATTTTGCAGTTGTTAAGGTAGTACATTTATTCCTAACAGTTTTTACTATGAATTTTTATTAGACCCAATGAAGAGACAATGGTGGCCTTAACACTTTAACCACATCATTTCTTAATTGGATACCAGCAAAATTCCTAAATAAAATCTATTATTCAATCTTATATCTTGATTGATATTTTTGTAGATATCCACTCAAGAATATAGTGTCTCTCACCAATGCCTGAATCCTAGATTGTTGTAAGTATCTAGAAAGGTCTTATCGCTCTTTAAGTTTGTAGTACCCTTAGGACTTTCAGGTGTTCAGACTGTAGATTTGTCCATAAAAACTGTTGTCCCTTTGGGTTTTGTAGATTCCAGTTAAGAGATTTTTGATAACCTCCATCTTGTATTGAAGGTGGATTTTTTTTCTTGCGTCCAACCAAAAGATAATGAGATTCTTAATAAAGTTAGAGCTCGTGAGATTTTATAGATATCCAGGTAATCAATGATGGTATTCTTAAGCCATCACACTGACCGTGTTTATTTGCAATTACCCTTTTAAGTTTGCTGACTGACCACTATAGTGATTGTGGAATTTACCAGCTATCCTATCACACAATGAAGGTTATCTCTAAAATAATTTCTTTGGAAATTTGCAAGTATACACATAAGTGCTGATGGTGTCCCTAATCAAGACAGCAATGGGATTTTTTAGTTATTCAGGCAAGAGAAGACATGCCCCTACAGTGATGTTTGATCCTGGGTGTAGTCAGGTAATATACATAATATACAGTATTTACCTTATCACATTATTGACCTTGGTGATGATGGATTTGCTGGTAGGCAGACAGAGATTTTGTCTCTACAGTGTTGACCTTTGAATTTTGCATGTATGCAGGTAAGAATTGATCTTTCCTTTACCATGTTAGTGGCCTTGGAATATTCTAGTTATCCTAGTCAAGAGTGATGTGTCCTTAACCATGCTAGTTACCATGGTATTTTGAAGGTATTCAGGTAAGAAATCATATATTTACAACTGAGTTACTTAACCTCAAATTTCTTAGGTATTCTTGGAGGAGATGATGGTGTTCCTACAACATGAATGAGCATAGAATTTTGCAGACACATAGTCAAGAAGATCTTTTGACTCTATCAAAATTGATATCTACACAAATGAAAGAAAAATGGAACACATTTTCTTGGCTAGATATTTATTTTATTAAAAGAATTTCAACATGTGATGAGTATTAATATTACACACAGTCATATATTCTTGCGCCCATTTCTTTATTTAACTTCTTCATAATAACATTGTGCCAGGAAACTTAGGCCCACATTTATGAAATATTCTCATATCTGGGAGCCATAAATATATGACAGACTTCATATAAGAAATAGTTATTCTTAAAGAAAATTAAGCTATAGACCCAAATCCTAGTTAAAGATTTAGGAAGAACGAACCAAGGAAGAAGAATATTGTACAGTTGTGTCAAAAAATCATACTATCATCCTACTGATATGAATTAATTTATATAGAATAAAAATTTGAATTTATATATATATATATATATGAGATGGTATTCTCTGTCTATATATATAGAGAGAGAGGCATTCTATTATTTCTTTGCACTAACACAATTAATGAGAAAAATTAAGAAAGCAACTTAATAGAAAAGGAGCTGTTCCTCATCTCAGTTATCTTGTTTTAATTTTTATGGGTAGAGTCTTGAATCCCAGCTTTCTCCTGAGAAATTTATTGGTGTAAAAATCCAGTCTAGTAGCATTTCTTCTTTCTTTCATTGCACTAAGAAAAAGCTGAGATTGAATACTGAATTTAACTGATCTTTCTTTTTTTTAAAGATTTATTTATTTATGTATACAAGAACTGGGGTACAAGCCAGAGGTGTGGGGGGGTGAGAGACAGAGTGGGGAACAGAACAGGTGGATCTACTGAAATACACTGCTGAGGGGAACAGCCGGTGAGGCAGGAGAAGTCTGCTGTACCATATGGGTAGCTCCCTTGCCAAGGATTGAACTCTTGCTGCAATGGCTGCGAATAGCTGCATAGGTTGCATCTTAACCCCTTGCTCTACCAGGGAGACCCTAACTGATCTTTCTGAGGAATTTTTATATGATTGCTCATGTGCTTTGATATTTATCATACCTATTTTGTCCTGGAGACTCTCTCCATAGCCTCTCCTCCTCAGAGGTGGAGATTTTCCTGGTTTTATGGAATAATAGTAATTTCTTATGTCCTTTACTTACCAGCCAATCATGTTGAAACATGCATTAGTTATCACTTCTTTCAATTCAAGAAAATTTGCACAATAAATTTTTGGCTTATTACTAGTAGTATCTACTCCTATTCCCCAATAATTATGAATATTATACCCTATTTTTATGTAACTTTGGTCATTTGGTAGAGTTTATTGAAGGGGAGGGTGACTAAAGTTTAGATTTCCTAAAAGCAGACCTGAGACAAGGATTTAGGTACAAATTAGTTTATTTGGGAAGTGATCTAAGAAGAATATGAGGAAGTAAGTAATTGAAGGACAGAAAGAAGGTCAATAAAATCTGTATTCAGTTCCTATTGCTGCTATAACAAATTTCTGAATCAGAATTTTATTATGGGTCTGGATATCAAAAGTCTGAAATGGGTCTCACTAGTCTAAAGTCAAGGTATAAGCCAGGCTTTGCTCTCTTCTGGAAGCTCTAGGGTACAGTTTACTTTCTCCTATTTCCAGTTTCTAGCAGCCATCTTTATTCCTTGACTTGTGGCTCCCTTCCATCTTCATTTTTTTTTTTTAGATTTATTTATTTATGCATACAAGAACTGGAGTGCAGACCAGAGGTGGGGGGGGTGAGAGGATTCACCAGAGATAGAGTGGGGAGCAGATCAGGCGGATCTACTGAAGTACACTGCTGAAGGGAGCAGTGGGCAAGACGGGAGAGGTCTGCTGCACCATGTGGGTTCCTCCTGCTGGCGGGGGGTGGAGCTTGAACTCCTGCTGCAGTGGCTGGCCATAGCTTGATAGTGCTGTCTTTAACCCCTATGCCAGGTAGGCCCCTTTCTGTTTTCAAAGCCAGCAGTGCCTGCTAAATCCTTTTCACATCGAATCACTGCACAGATACCCTTTTGCCTCTCACTTTCAGTTTTCAGGAGCCTGGCAATAACATTAGGTACACTTGGATAATCCAGGATAATCTGCCTGTCTTCAAGTCAGTTGATTAGCAATTTAATTTTATGTACAACGTTAGTCCCCCTTCATCATATATATAAACTAGATTTCAGAAATTAGAATGTGGAAATATTCAGAGAACTATTATTCTGCCAATGATAGGTACAGTAATTCTTCAGTTATAACAGTAGGCAATTGATATAATTGATGTGAAATATACTTGTGACCCAACCTGACCAAAATCAGCAGGAGTAAATTTTTGGAAATGTACTTAAACTTATTCAAATTGACACATTCCAAAACTACCACAGTCTATTCTTGTCAATTTTAAGCTTAAGTACATCCCCTCGAACCACACTAAATCTCTGAATAAAGACTCTCTTGCATAAAGCTGAAAAATACTACTCCTTTGTCCCGAAGAGGATAAAAATTTCCTTTTGGGTTGTTGGATGATGTTTGTTCTCCTGGTTGATCCACACTTCCTGTTTTGTATATTATAACTTAAATATGATATAAAGTTAAGAATGATAAACAGCTCATGACAGATGATATGGAGATGACATTTTAAATCCTTGACTCCTGGGTTTATGAATATTGGCCAAAAGAGAAATAGCACTGAATATTAGAGGCTGATTTGCAGCATATGCAGCCTCCTGAGAACTTGGCTCAGCCCTGCAAAGTGTTGCCAATTAATTGGTGAAAAAACTGAGTCTTTTTTTAAAAAAAGATTTATTTATTTAGCATAAAGATCTAACGTGTAGGCCATAGGTGTATAGGTGTGTGTGTGTGTGGGCGTGAGGGCATTCACCAGAGACAGAGTGGGGAGCAGAATAGGCAGATTTATTTAAATATACTGCTAAGGAGAGCAGTAGGTGAGACAGGAGAGGTCTGCTGTGCCATGTGGGTAGCTCCCTGGCCAGGGAGTAAACTCAGGCCAACTCTGCCCATAGTGATGATGGCACTGAGACTTAATCCCTAGTCCACCAGGGAGGTCCCATTAACTGAGTCTTTAAAAGGGCATTCCGGGGCCTCCCCTGGTGGCACAGGCTGTTGAGAGCCACGCTGTGAAGCTGTCTGCAGCCTCTGCAGCGCCGGTTTGATCCCAGCCTGCCGGCGAGGGTCCCACATGGCGCGGTAGACCTCTCCTGTCTCGCCCGCTGCTCCCCTCAGCACTGTGTTTCGTCAGTCTGCCTGTTCTGTTCCCCGCTCTGTCTCTGGTGAATCCTCTCACCCTCCTGTGCATCTGGCCTGTTCCCCAGTTTTGGTATAAAATAAATAAATAAATCTTTAAAAATAAATAAATAAAAGGGCATTCCATCTTCTATCAAGTCAGTTCCTTCAGGATGATGGAGAAATCAGTAAGACCTGTGAATTCCATGAACATAGACAAATTGCTATACTTCATATGTTATGAGATGAATTTCTTGATTAGAAGTAATAGTATGGGGAATACCATGATGGTGGATAAGATAGTCTGTAAATACATGGATGATAGCTTAGATAGAAACATTTTGTGCAGAGAGGAAAATCTGTATTCAAAGGAGTATCTATTTCAGTAAATAAAACACCACTCCTTCTATGATAGAAATAGCCACCAGGTAGCTGACTGATCATCCTGGGTAATGGTGCCATTTTGAAGACATAGTGGTTTTCACCACAGGTAGATTGGGCACTTGGCAGTGACTACAGACAGGTCATTGAGGGAATTCCATGTTGCTAAACTCATATATAATCTCCATCCATGCTACTATGACCACTTTGTTCATGAGCCCATTGGGCCATTACAGTCATCACTGAGGAAGGAAGCTAAAAATATTTTAGCTTATTATAGTTGGCCAAAATATTCTTGACTTCTGAGACAAGTCAGTATAATGTAAATTATTATATCATTTACTAAGTACATTGAATTTTCATTTAAAAAATACATTAAAAGTGACTTAAAAGAGGGCCTCCCTGGTGGCTCAAGGAGTTAAGTCTCAGTACTATGAAGGTATCAGCAGCCACTGTATCATGAGTTTGATACCCACACCAGGAAGCTAATCCACATGGCACAGCAGACCTCTCCTGTCTTGCCCACTGCTCCCCTCAACAGTGTATTTCAGTCAATCCACCTGTTCTGTTCCCCACTCTGTCTCTGGTGAATCTTCTCACCCCCTGTACCTGCACCCCAGCTCTTGAATGCATAAATAAATAAATCGTTTTTAAAAAATGACTTAAAAGAACTATACGTTTCTCTTTTATAAATGAAGTCTATACTAGTCAATGTAGCACTGACATGGAGGATTCATAATTATCAGGGATATAGTGTCCTCTGTTCTGTATGATATCCTCAGCGTTGACTTATGATCCAAGATGTTAGCTAGAGCTCTAACAATTTCATCAAATTCAAGGTTAAAAAAGAAGTGTGAAGTACAAAGTAAACATTAACTAGTTGTCTATTTCCCCTTGTAGGTACATTCCTAAAATTCCCTCCCATCAACAGTTCCATGTATATCTCAGGCCTAGTTCCTTGTCCAAACCTGGCATCACCAAAGACTGGAGAATGAATTTTTTTGGAAAGGTCTATTAGCTTTCTAAATAAAATTGGGAATTTTTAAGTAAGAGTGTTAGACAGATGGGTATTATCAACCAGCAATGTGACACAGTACAACCAGCTTGTTTTCTATGTATCATCCTCCATTTGAGATGATGTGTGGTTCTAAGAATGTATACTTTTATTATTGTGACAGAATTAAAGTGACTAAAACTGTCCAGTGCTTCTATTGAGTAACTGCTCAATGAACACCTAATAACAAAACCTTTAAGGTTTTATTTGTTCGTATTTTACCAAATGAAAAGATAGCAAGTAATGAGGTTTTTAAAGTTTCATTATGGTACTTTTGTCTTAAAATGTGTGTGGGGTGTGTGTGTGTGCAGGTTCTTTCCCTCTACCCCCACACCCTCACCCTCACCAAGAAATTTACTCTGGAGGGAGAGAATGATAGAAACTAAATGGCAGCCATGCCAATCGATATTTCAAGGTGATAAAATTAAGGGAGACC